TGACATATAGGAAAAACCCCAAAAAACTTAATGAATCAAGAAAATGATCGAGATTAAGGTTGATACCGTGTTAAAACAAGAATACTGAAATAAATCTGATTCATAAATTAAATTTAAGGTATACAAAATGTGTGTATATATATATATATATTGTGCTAATTACAAAGAATCTGCTTCTAACCAACCTTTAACTAATTCCTAACTAAACAGAAATAGCTAACTAACTTCTTCAACATGTATTTCGTCAGACTTAGTACGAGTGAATCTGGATTACAAGCATTATAATTTTTGCTTCTTTCAAACGTTCAAATATGCATGCCTCCACATTATAATCTCATGTTCATATGTCAAGATCGATAACATGTTATACATGGATAATGTGTTCTACCTTTCTCATGTCTTTAACATATATGAGTATGAGTTCCATCCGATCAAAAATGAAAGAGAATAGAATTAGGTCAATTCTACTATATTCTTTATTCCAAAGAGATTTTACAAATCATCCAAAATCAACTAAGATTCGCACTGATATAGATATCAAAGAGAAACCGAACAACCTAAATGATCTGATACTATAAAAACCCATGGCACAATATAAAAAAAAATCTTTTTCTTTTATTGTAGTGTCTCTTAGTCCCGAATCATTTACATTTTTCTATAATAATAATCTTTATATTTTAAATCTTTCTTAACATTTTGTATCTTTATACATAAGAATTCTATTATATTTCAATAACTCACTCTAAGAAACTCTAAAACAAGACACCAAATTAATCATTCAAAACCCTTAACCTAAAACTCCTACAACTAAACAAATTGTTATAATATCGAAACGATGATTATCGGCAAACAAACAAACACGATCGAAAAGAAAAAGCAAAGAACACTAGGATTTATGTGGAAAACCCAAAAGGAAAAATCACAGGCATAGGAGAAGAATTTAACTAATATGAAGGAAGAAAATACAAGAGGATTTTGGTGAAAAAAAACTTGATTTATAACCCTGACTCTTAGTATCTATTTATAGAGATAGATACTTGATTACAAAGGAAAACTAAATAAAGTATAAATTTACTTTAATAAAGTTTTATACTTTTAACCAAACTGGGTTTCCTACTTTCCCAATAATTATATATTAAATAATTTGTGTCACTTTGAATTCGAGTCAAACTCTAACAAATCTCCACCTTGACACGAATTCTGAAAGTGCAAAGATTTCGAGACAAAACACTCAAATTCGATGTAACACCTAACCTCAACAAAAAATAATTCTTCACTTCAACGAACAAGTTCTCCACCTCTTCCACAACACCCCTCAAAGGGGTATTCTTCAATAACGGACACCGATCAAGTTCAAGCTTGTTCTAGGCTTGGATTTAGTCTTCACATCGACATGATTATCATAAATGCCAACTTTGCTCACAAATGTTTCACCACGAGCAATATCATGCATAACACGATCCTTATGTTTTTCCTTATTCGTCCATTGTGTTACTGGCTTCTCATCAAATCCTTTAATTTCATCGTCAAGATCTAACTGTGCAAGAACATCCCGAATCTTCACCTGCCATAACGAGAACCTGGTATTTCGATCCAACAGCGGAATATCATACTTCATTGTTGTCATAATCTTAAACCTGAAGCTCTGATATCAATTTGTTATGATATTAGAATGATGATTATCGGCAAACAAATAAACACGATCGAAAAGGAAAAACAAAGAACACTAGGATTTATGTGGAAAACCCAAAAGGGAAAAACCACAGGCAGATGAGAATAATTTCACTAATATAAAGGAAGAAAATATCAGAGGATTTTGGTGAAAGAAAAACTTGATTTCTAACACTGACCCTTAGTATCTATTTATAGGGATAAATGCTTGATTACAAAGGAAAACTAAATAAAGTATAAATCTACTTTAATAAAATTTTCTACTTTTAACCAAACTGGGTTTCCTACTTTCCCAATATTTATATATTAATTAATTTGTGTCACTTTGAATTCGATTCAAACTCTTATTTTATTGTTATATTTTGACCTAAATTATAATTGTTAATTAAGTTGGATTTTATTGTAATTGTTTTAGCTAAGAATTCTTATCGATTAAGAATTCTTGGTGATCAAGTATTTGGCTTTATAAATAGAGATAACCTAATTAGAGAGAGAATTCTTTCTGAGATCTCTGTAATCTTTGGGGTTTATGTTACATAGATAGTCTTGTAGGGACTGAGAGAGTTTTTGGGATAAATCGGGTTTTGATATCTATATAGGGTTTTGGGATATATGTGATATCATATACTTGTATTCTTCATGTTCTCTACATCTATATTGGATTATTTTTCATCTCACCCGTAAAGTTAGACAATGTCGAACCACGTTAAATCTCGTCTCCTGTACATGTCTTATTTTATGTTGATATCGATTTCATTATTTTTTTCCGCTTATATATTATAACACAAACCATAAAACCCTAAATCAGTGATCTAGACTGAAAACTAGAAATGGTAAAATACAAGAAAAGCACATTCGCTACGTGGTCTGGCCAAACCGATAACCAGATAAATTAAATGCAGCATTCATACCCTCAAACTGTAGGGGGCAATTGCGAAGCAACATTAGAAAAAGTAGTAGGAGCTGGGGCCTTTGGAGGGTTGGTAGCACTTATGACCTCGAGCTGCCTAAATTTGGCCTTGTTAGACCCTACACATGTGGGCTCAAACTACAATCTCACTATTACATCATACTCATTCATCATTTCCATTTTCCAAGAACCGATGCTCCTAATTAATATTCTTTGAAATAACAACCACGACTTCGAATTGTTAAATGATTCTACCAATCCCATATTATGTAATTTCAATTTCATTTGGATTCAATTATAATCGTTACTTTTAATATTATCATCTATTCAAATGATTTTTTTTAAACAATGGTAACCGGATTTTATTAATAAAAATAGATGGAGAAATCAAAATTACAATGCACTCAAGCATAAAGAGAAAAATCAAGACATTTGTCACCAAAAAAATAAATACAAAAACAAAAATATTAAACTCAAATATATGGAAAAAATATATATATTCTCTTGAGAATGACGATCAATATTAAAAGAATTCAGTAATTATCATAAAAACTCATTGTCTTTGTTGGACGAGACGCTTTACAAAATGATAAAAGAATAGTGAGCGAATCAAACTATCTGACAGGCTGCTTCGCTATACTATTCTGATTATACCGGCAAACAACCTTTTACCAAAGGGGATTTGATTGTACTTGACAACTTAAAAATTAATAAAAAAATGTCGTTTGTGCAAGCACCAAAACGACAAAAAATGTATCAAAAGCTATAAGGATCGTGCTACAAGAGCAAAGAAAACGCATGCCACAAGAACAGAGAAAAATGTGTCACAATGACATAGATTCTTATTCAAAATTGAAAAGAAAAAAGGAAAACAAAGAACATGTTATGAAAAAAAATAAGAGAACTAATAATTACTGGCAGCCGGTAACCATCATTAAGATTGACGTCGTCATCGGCTAAATAAAAATTAATAGAAAAAGGAAGGCAATACAAAAGATATTAAGAGAAAACTTAGGTCAGAAAAATGAGAAAAATAATTTTTGAATGCATGTTCATAGTCGTTGATGAATGTAATTGATTTATCTTATTTTTCTTTCATGGTAATAGGCTACCTTATTCTTGGACTTACTTAATTAGGCGTATAAATCATGTTTAGTGTTTTGCTGATGATCAGAGGACAAGGAGGACCCCATTGAGTTGATAAATTTTAACACACTTCACGTGATTATTGGTATTGAAGGTGTCGACCACCCCTATCTGAAAACGATTGGTGTCGGATTTCCTCCTTCCATCAATTAATGACTTGTTTTCGTATAGTCTAATCACTAAACAATTTGATTTTGATTTTAAAACAACACATTCACTCCAAAGGATCTTCTTAATTCCCTTTATCATGTTAATATTAGTAGGCATGAACATCGGAAATTACTGTCTTTTATTACAAATTCCGCTTGTCCTTTCGCAATTACCATGCCTCAACTTTAAACATGAGTACTAAATAGGTAATTTAGGATAAATGTTTTTAAAACCAGATGTCAAGTTCTCAACCTGATCTATGGTATCTCTAGTTTAAAATAAAATATGAAAAATAAAAGTTTCTTCTTATTTATATGCACATTTGTTCATTTAGTTTTTCGTGTAATGATTTGTTTATGATGATATTATTATTTAGTAGACTGTGCATATATAGATTTGGCACTGTTAGACATAACATTGAAAATATATTAGTATACATTAATTATATTAATAATATAAATAATTTTTAATATATTAATTTTATTAACAATATGTTAAATATAAATTTTTGATAGAGTCCAATTTTATGATATTTCATACTAATATCTTTTAATTTAATGTTGAAGATTAAGTTTGTTTAAAAAGATTAAACTTGTTCTAAAATTATTATTAAAATAATTTGATAAAATATACTAAAAAATCTTAATTCTAAATAATTTTATTCACAGAAGTAATTTTACATTTCGTGCCAAATCGAATGGCCCTGAGTGCAAAGGAAAATGAAGGTCCACAAAACCAGTCAGTGCTAGAAGCTGTTTCCTGGTCCCTATTCTTGATACAAGTCTAGAAAGCAAAATTGATAAGATGAGACCAACAAAACAACGCAGAATATTGAAACAAACTTACACCAACAGTCTAAATGACACCTCCATTACTGTGTGAGCTTTCCTTTCCGAGCCTTATGCTAGTATTTTCCATGCCAAAGACAGCAGGAGACATTGATGTAGACTCTAAAACACCACATTACTCACGTAGAGTTTCTACAAATTTTGATGTCATTTTCTATTAATGCTCCACTTGTCCATCCATGTATCAGTGTAGACAACCAGACACCAGTACCTGTTAATTTGCTTCTATATAAGAGCATGCAACTTGAAGATGTTTGTTCACACCCAAAGCATTGAAACAAACCAGATAAACTCTAAATGGCTAGAGTTCCTTACAAGCATCTTGTTCTTGCTGCTTTTTTCTTCTTCTTCATCTCCTCAACTGCTGGAGGTAAATCTTGAGTCTCCAACTCATCAATTATATATCTTTATTCCTTTAATGTTATATTTTCTTTGACATATATGAGGAGTTTCTTGCTCTTAACTCCATTTATTTTCTTTTTCAGCACGAAATCTACCGGCGGCCAAAGAAACTGAAAAACCCCATGATCATCAAAAGCTTACATTAACAAAAGATGAAGTAGAAACTACTATTAGCGTTGACGAACTAGTCTCTATGGACTATACTCCAGCAACGAGAAAGCCACCGATCCATAATTAATTGGCAGATTTTGTAAAAACAAGTACTATTTGGTTTAGTTTAGTTTTAGTTCAGCTCTTTATTTCTTTCTTTCCCCCTTGATCCTGCTTCTGTTTTTGAGTGCATGTATATATAGTAGAAGGGATAATGCAATAAAAGAAATCATTTACGCATTGTCCATGCTCAATCATTGGAGAATAGTTGTTGTAGCTATTCTTAGCAGTCCATTCCTTTTGATTTTGATGGAGAACCATAAGTATAATAGTCGAAGAAAGTGGTGGCCATGAGACTCAGATCAGGTGGCCTGAGACCAAGAGAAGGGAGAAGAAAAAAGGGAGGGTGAGAGCCGAATTGGGGCCTCCTCCTTTGTAAGGAGCGAAAGGACCCTCTTATATGTTTTATGGCCTTCATATCATGTGGCAGCTTCATATAAGAAGATGATAGAATGTAGTGTCTCCATAAGGTAGATTAGGATCGTCATGGGACACGTCATGCTAGTTTGGTAGTTGTATGTTCTATCTAGTTAGTGAAGGTGATCGGGTAAGTCTAGATGTTCCATATGTTAATTGTCTATTAGGTTAAATGTAACACCTTTTATTCAGTACAATTTAAACAGAAAACATTACATTTCAAGAATTAGAGCTAAAATCAAAATAATTTAAAACTTTTACACCCAAATTAATCAAACGATACAAAGGATATAACATTATCTGAGGGCTACATTGTATATCACACAACTAATCCAAGTAATCATAGATGTATACAATAAATTACTATCCTTCCTGTAAGAAATAGGTATATATATATATAATTCATTTATTAGGTGTGTATGAGTAGATTTTATAAACTCAGAACTAAAAAACAATCATCAATCATGAGAATTAAATATATGAGTATCAATACACATACTTAGTATATCGATACTCAAGGTTGAGAATCAATATTCATCTTATGTATAGGTGTCTTTTAAAAGTATGATATCTTGACAGATCAAAAAAATATTACAGGTATTGTTACTTCTTAGTAAATATTGATACTTTACTTTAAGTATTGATACCCTAAACCCTGTATTAATACTAAAATCACTTAACTTTTGTACGACTTTTATCTGTAAAGAATAGGTATCTTTATTCTAGATATCGATACCATACCATAAAAGTGCAAAATTTCCAAATTGAAATGCTACTAAATATTGCCTAAATACACCAAAGTCGAAATCAACCCATTAAAACATGTCAAAGACACAAAATAAGACATGAGAGGTAGTGTAGATTGTGCATATGATCATTTGTGTGGAGTTTGGTGTCGTAACCGATTTTCGGCGATACGACGAGTCTCGACTCATTTTGTGAAAACTCGATTTTGTAAAAAAAATGTTTCGGAGTCACCATCGGCTTTTTTAGGTTAGGTATGCCGAATACCCAAAAAACTTCTTTTAAAAGAGTTTTTTTTAAAGAAAAATATCATTTTAAAAGATGCACTGATCCACATGTAACCAGAAATTTATTTTTTTAGTAATAAAAAGGGTTCGGGGGTCGATTACGTGTGGGGAAGGATAAGCACCCCCACAACGCCCAAAATTGGTACCCATCGATTATATATTGTCTCTAAATAGTAGAAATTTAAGAGTTTGAATACATATTTAAATTACGATTCCATTATTCCGAATTCAACCATACAAAAATTCTAAGGAAAAATAAAAATATTCTCATATTTCCAATTGAAGAGAAAATACTCCCTAAAATACTTTAGGACGGATATTTCTCTTTCCAACTGAAATAAAAAGAATATAATATTTTTTTCTAAGAATCCAATATTAAAATAATTTTTTATTCTACCAAAGAAATAAATTAAACCCATTAATATTATATTACTAGAAAAGATAAGAGATATTCAATTATTTAAAAATACCGAGACTAAATCCCTAATAAAATTAGACGAATTATCTCGACAAGTTTAAAATAGTGAATATTTCCTTTTTCCCTTCAAAATTAATTAATTTTAAATGCAATCAATTTTTTTAGGTTTTTCTAGTGGGATATTTATTTATTTTAAAATATCGGAAAATGACATCTAGTTGTCTTAAGACTGTCCCTTCTTAATATTTTAAAATGCATAAATATTGCCCTTATTCCAATTATGTAATCAGTTAAGTTATGCTAATGAAGCTTTTAAATGAAATAAAAATGATACATTGAAGCATTTAAAAAAATATATATATAAATACACATATGGACTAAAAAACAATTTTAAGATTATTTTTAACTTTATTTTACTTTATAAATATATAAATATTTTCTAAATATTATGTTAAACATAGAACATAATATTTATTCTAAAATATAATAAAAATGAAAAAATAAAATTTATACCATGCTCTACATACAATCTTATGTACATAAAATAATGTATAATACAAGTAAAATAAATACCTAAAACATAAAACATACGTTAATGGTAAAAATAAACAATAGACACTTGGATTCATTCATAACATAGTGACAAAATAATTATAAAGTGACTTTGATATCCTAAACATTAATAAAACAAATATTATAGCATTAAACAAGAAAATAACAAATAGAAGCACCGGAATCATAATGAAACCATAAACATAGGACTAAAACATAAAAACATCAACATCAGTAGTCAATCTTGAACAAAAAATAATTCATCCAACGGAGGACTAAATTAAAATAATATAAAAACATGCATCTATTTTATTTACGTTTTTTAAGCACATAACTAGGAACGAACAAAGAAAAAAACACACATTAACATAAGAATACCTTCACTCGTTTGATTGCTGAAAAATCTAGTTGTATTACTTTGATATTTTTTTTTCTATTTTTCGGTCTGAATAACCGAGAGCCAGCCCCCTGCTCTTGTTACATGGTTTGGTTCTTATAACTGATTTACATAGGTTTAAAAACAAATAAAAACAATCCTAGATCTACTGTGGTGCTACTGTGTTGATGATGGTATGCTTTTAATGCCCCGGATATTACGGGGTTTTGTTGATATCTCTGAGGAGGCTTGGGAAATGGCAGTGACGGTTGAAGGCATGATATCTCTAGGGTATAGTTAGGTTAGAGTTCTGTTAGGGTATGAAAAATAGTGGTTACAACTGCCCCTCTTTGCTCATTACCGTGAAACGGAAATGAAGCAAAGATATAAAAACACCATTTTTCATATTGGTCTCTTCTTGTCACATTGCAACCTCTTCACTGCAAATGTCAATTATTCTCTTTCCGTGATAGTTGCACCAATAGTGATGCCAATCCAACTCCTTATGTGATGGACGAGCGAAACGATGATGCTGATCTAACTCCTTATGCGATATAATCGAGCAAAAAATTGAGTAAGTTCTTCTCATTATGAACTTCCTCCTCTAAGGCGAGTTCTTCTCATTATGAACTCTTCTAGAAATGTTGGTTCACGTCCTTATGCGATGGATTTGAAAGGAGCAAGTTCTTCTCATTAAGAAATTTCTCCTTTAAGATGAGTTCTTCTCATTATGAACTCTTCTGGAAATGTTAGTTCACCTCCTTCTGCGGTGGATTTGAAAGGAACATGTTCTTCTCATTATGAACTTTCTCCTTTAAGACGAGTTCTTCTCATTATGAACTCTTCTGGAAATGTTGGTTCACCTCATTCTGCGGTGGATCATAGTTGTTGTTGAATATCTCTGTATTTCTGTCAAAATATTCAAAGCATTTCAATGAATATGAATGGGTGAACATGCTCCTATTTATAGATGCCTACTGATGTATGCATGATATCGTTTTAATATTGTGAGCTCCGTTGTCCTGCAAATCTTTAATTCAAATGCGTCATTTGATCTTTCATTTATGTTCCATACTTCACTTGGGTTACTTTATACAAGTTCTAATTTTTCTCATTCCCATACGAATCCTTATTTGCCTCAATTTGAACTGTTCATCTATGTTAGGTAGATAATTTCTTGATAATATTATGTCTTAGCACACACCAAAATATCATTGTTTTCAATGTCCATTTCAAGATTTCATCTCTTACATACATTTTCCTTGGCCATGTTTTACCCTACACTCTTCGACTATATACACGAGTATTAGGGTCCTGACTTATTTTAGACTCTCTATACTGGAAATATTAGTTCAAAGTAATACCAAGAAATCTTTTATTTTCTTTTTAATGCTATGTCAATCTACTTACAAGATGTTTATGTGTATGTACAGAACAAATAGAATTGGGCTTGAAATAACAAACTTTGAAATTATTGAATTGAATTTACAAAGTGATGACAATCATATAAATAGTGGAAATTTAGAACTACAAGTTCAGATGTCCCTATGGATCACTAGCATGAGTGTTCCTGAACCAATCCCCTTGATGTAACTTGAAGCATTGAATTGAGCTTATGTCTGGAGGACTTCAAATGTTGCCAGAATGTCTGTAGACGTGAAGCTTCTCTCAAAATATCAGACATTTAAGAGGGTTTATACGCCTGATGCCTAATCTCAAAATACCTTTTAGCCGCCTTTTCAGGTTTTTAACTCAAAGCCTTCCTTTAGTTTCAAGATGTCCTTTGTGGATTTTCATGTCGAACCCTCCTTTTTCTTTTTCTTTTCATTTTTATTTCTTTTTTCTTTTTTCTTTTTTTTATTTTTTCATTTTTTTCATTTATTCATTTAGTCATTTTTGTTATTTTTCTTTTTCACTTTTTCATTTTTTTCATTCATTCATTCTTTCTTCTTCAAGCATAGTACTTCTTGACAGAGTCTGAGTTTACCGAATTTCTCAGTTTTTTTCCATCCATCTCTGCCAAAATCAATGCTCCCTCAGAGAAGGCCTTATTGATAACATATTGACCTTTCCAATTAGGCATCCATTTCCCTCAGAAATCTTTATGAATTGACAGAATCTTTTTTAGCACCAGATCACTCTCTCGAAATTCTCTTGGATGAACCTTCTTATTATGAGCTCTCATCATCCGTTTTTGATACATCTGACCGTGACAAATAGCTTTTAATCTCTTTTCTTCAATGAGATTCAACTGGTCAAACCGAGCCTGAACCTATTCAGCTTCATCCAAGTTCACCTCTTTCATAATTCAAAGTGATGGGATTTCTACTTCCACTGGAAATACTGCCTCTATCAAGTAGACTAAAGAGAAAGGCGTTGCCCCTGTT